AATCTCCAATAATGACTTGTGCTTTAGACCTCTTCTCCAAATACACAGATGCACTCAGCAGGTGGATTGTGGGTAGATATTTCAGTAAGGAGTGTCCTACATTAGGAAATACTATAATTACAGCTAGCACTAAGGAGCATCTGAAACACAGCTTGCCCCAGGACTGCTTAACTGGGAAGTGTTGCCTCCAGCCCCAAAGAGGTGTCATGTTGCCCTCTTGCAGAAGGAGAGAACAAGGAGCTTTTTTCCTTGACATTATGATTATCATGCAAGTGTCACTTTTCTCAAGTGCCCACATCCAAGGTGGGAAAGCTTCCCTTGCCCATCTACCATAGTGGTAGGAGAAGGCAGAGCTGGCACTTATATCAAGTCAAAAACTTCCAGAAGATGATTGTTCTTCTGGAAAAAATGACAAGAGAAGAGAAAGCAAAACAAACCAGGCAATAAAAACAGAAGTGCTTATGTAATAAAAGCCCTGCAGTAAGGAGAAAATCCTCAACCTCAGAGCTGGCCTTCCTGTGTGGAACGTGGAAAACTCCCAGAAAATAAATGAGGTGAAAATAGAGAAGGGCCAAGGCAAAGGAAGTTTTCTCTGACTGGTGTGCCATGCTGCTTCTGTCTTCCCACTCGCACCACGGCTGCATCAGGCCTGACCTCACCAAGCCAGACACCCTTTGCGCTTCTAGCTTTCAGGTTGCCTGCAGGAAAGGTTATCTGCTGAAGCCATGCTGCATGGCAAGTGTTCCACCATGTCATCGCCTTCCAGCAGCAGCCCTGGAAGAGAAGACTGCAGGCTGTCACCTCATGTACTCATGGGGTTGCCAACCCCTAGCAGCTGACCGGACAACTGGGACTGTCACTTCAGCAACTCTGCCTGCATGCTGGGCCTGTGGTGCATGGCTGGAGTGTTCCAACCTTACCCTAAGCTGCCCCAGAAGGCTGGTTTTATGGCAGTTAGGCAAGTCCATTCTCTAGAGCAGCCTAAGGGCTAACTCACACCTTTAGCAGAGCTGTGGTGCTCAGGAAGGTCTGAATTTGCTCCTGTGTGCATGCTCAGGAGTGTGTAACTTACACAGCCATACACAAGGTGATTAAGAGTTTGTCTTGTGGCTACTGAGTGCTGTGCAGAGCTTGGGGCCAGCTCCTTGGTGGGTGTATGTCTGCCCAGCCCTGCTGACTGCAATGATGAGCCATGGACTTATCCCACTTGCAAGTCTCACCTCAGAGCTGTAAACATAAACTCCTGGTCTGTGGCAAAGGCTTGCCCAGGTTTGAACTTAACATAAAAAAGGCTATAAGTTTATTTTCTCTTTGCATTTCCGCAGCTGTG